AATAATAATTTTAGACTCTTTGAAAACCATCCTATTTTTGTCAGTATACTTTAGCAGTTCAGCAAGTAGGTATCATTAAATACCTACTATGTGTCTATTGTGTAAGTTGCTGGGGATACTCTGAAAAATATATCCTGATACTATGCTTACCCGGCAGGGGAAATACCGTGATCACATTTTCCCAGGGCGAGGCTTTTCCATTGCACTCTGGATGTGCTGACCCCTGCGATTTCCCCAAATGTGGGAAACTCGACTGCATAATTTGTGGTAGTGGGGGACTGCATTCGCGCTTTCCCCTGGTAAAAGAAAAAAAAAGTAAAGAAAAGAAAAAAAAAAAAGAATATATCCTGATACTGTCTTAAGTCATCTAGTAGGAGAGATAAAGAAGTAAACAGACAAGCTCAGTATAATTTTTAAAGTTGAGTGATGACAAGTTAAGCCCTTAACCTTGATCTTGAGATCTTCTGGCAAGCTTCTTGAAAGTCATACCTTAATTAAATCTTAAACTGTATGTGGCAGCTAGGCCAAAGAATGAAGAAGACAAGGCATTGTTAACAAAATGAACAGCTTAAAGAAAGACCCAAAGGTGAGAAACGGCATCTCTGTGTTATTAGATTGTAAAGACAAAAGAGTTTCAAGAAGTAAAATTGGAGAAAAATTGAAGTCAGGTGTTAGAAGTGCTTATTCTTTCATTTGACGACTGAATGAGTTTGAAAGAAGGAAAGGAAGGAGTCCAGGATGACTGTCTGGTTGCCTTGAGCTGTTTGGCAAGTATGTTACAGATTTAGGCAAAAGAAGAAAGAGATGGTAAGCTAAGTGTTGCACAGGTTAGAGTTTGAGGTTCCTGTGGGATAGTAAAGTCATAGTGTCTGGCAGGCACTGGTGACTGTGAATCTGAAGTTCGAGTAGATGGGCAGGTCTTAAGGTTAATGATAATCATCAGTTTATAGCTGATAGCTAAATTTTGAGACTAGCAGATCTTGTCTGTTTTAATTCTCAAAATACAGTCAAGGATAATTTGTGTAAAATTACAGATGCTTCTCAACTTAGAATAGATTTGGATCCTGATACATATCATGAATTGAAAACAGTGTATGTTGAAAATGCATTTAATGCACCTAATCTACTGAATATCATAGCTTAGCTTAGCCTACCTTAAATGTGTTCAAAACACTTATATTTTGGCAAAATTATATAACACAAAGCTTATTTTATAATAAAGTGTTGCACTTTGGTGAAGTCTAAAAATCATAAGTTGAACCATTGTAAGTTGGGAACCATATGTAATTAAAAATGCAACTGGTCCATATTAACCTTTTGTACTCATATAAGACCTCACTAGAAGAACAACTTGCTACATTAACTAGAAGAAATGAATTAAAATATTGATAATACTGATGATCAACCTGTTTTAAACTAAATTTATTGCTGTTAATTGAAATGATTTTCATAAACTTTTGATTCTTTTGACTGGTTTTATATTATTCTGTAAGAGATATGGTGGTAGGCCTCATAGTCAAAACTTGTTATTTTTATATTGGTTTCTTGGTTTCAAAGGATTCCTATGTTTGGACTGCTTTTGATGACCAAATTTATAGACTTGTTCTTTGTGAAGCTTTTGAAGATCTTCTGAAGGAAATACTGTTAAACTAAAAGTATCAGTTTTCTAAGTCACCATAGTGTTTGCAGAAAAAAATGAAAATAAAAACTAAAACTATGTTGTCATCAAATGAATACCTATACTAGTATTACTTATAACCTAATTTAGTATTTTAGCATTTTAATATTACCTAAGTTATTTACTTTTGCATTCTTAAGTATTTATAACATAACATAAATATTATATATTTATAACATCGCTCTGAGTTGTGAGAGTAATTTTATTGATCTAGGAAGAAAATATTGGGCCAAATATTTTAAAAGAAAAAAATGAAAAAAGAAACAACCCTTGAGAAATGCACTAAAATAAAAAAAAATCAACTATTTTTTTCTTATGCAAGATTTTTGTTGAATTATTATAGTCAGAATTATCATCTAGTGATGAGAGTGAGAATTTTTACAACCCATATTCACAATTAGAAGACTTCAAGGTTTGTAACCGGAATGCCAGAAGAGGCATCAAAGTCCAAAAGAGACAGAGTCACCTAAAGGTAATCTTTTTTTGTTGTTGTTTATTTTATATATATGTGTTTTATCAGTAAAGATCATTGGTTTTACGTCAAAGCAGATTTCTCTATGAATTCTCTTTATAGAAAAAAATTTTAAGTATTTTGACACCCATTTTGTTTTTTTACTGGAATTAAATTCAAAGTATAGTTTTTTTGTTTCTCTTTGTGTTTTGATACTTTATATTGCAGTGTTATGTTACTTTGAATGAATATCAAAAAACTCAAGTGTATTGAGAATTTATATTTCAAATTGAATAATATAGAGTTAGAAATTTGAGTTTTAAGATATTTGCTTTTATGATCATTATATTGTTTTTCTTATTTCTAATTTTCAAATACTTGAAAAAGTGTTCTCAGTACCTTTCCTTTCTGATTACATTCTTTTGAGGTGCAGTAATTTTCTTGAAAGAACTTAGCTGGAAGACTCAGGAGATTTTATGCTTATTAAGAAACATCAAGCAGGCTGGGCATGATGGCTCACGCCTATAATCCCAGCAGTTTGGGAGGCTGAGGCAGGTGGATCACCTAAGGTCAGGAGTTCGGGACCAGCCTGGCCAACATGGTGAAACTTTGTCTCTACTAAAAATACAAAAATTATCTGGGTGTGGTGGCACATGCCTATAATCCTAGCTACTCGGGAGGCTGAGGCCTGAGAATCACTTGAACCTGGGAGGCAGAGGTTGCAGTGAGCCGAGATTGTGCTACTGCATTAAAGCCTGGGGAACAAAGTGAGACTGTGCCTCAAAAAAAAAAAAAGAAAAAAAAAATTGCCCAGGTGTGGTGGCTCAGACCTATAATCCCAGCAGTTTGTGAGGCCAAGGCAGGCAGATCACTTGAGGTCAGGAGTTTGAGACCAGCCTGGCCAACACGGTGAAACTCCATCTCTACTAAAAAATACAAAAATTAGTTCGGCATGGTGGCAGGTGCCTGTAATCCCAGCTACTCAGGAGGCTGAGATAGGAGAATTGCTTGAACCTGGGAAAAGGAGGTTGCAGTGAGCAGAGATTGTGCCATTGCATTCCAGCCTGGGAGACAGAGCAAAACTCTGTCTCAAAAAAAAAAAAAAAGCAGATATGCTGACTTTTACTTTATTTTACTTATGACCGAATTATCAGAATTTTTAAATAGAAATGTAACTTTGTCATTTCTTCTTGGAATTTTTTTTTTTTAGATGGAGTTTTGCTCTTGTTGCCCTGGCTGGAGTGCTATCGCACGATCTCAGCTCACTGCAACCTCCGCCTCTCGGGTTCAAGTGATTGTCCTGCCTCAGCCTCCTGAGTAGCTGAGATTACAGGCGTGTGCATCACACCTGGCCAATTTTCTTTTGTATTTAGTAGAGAGAGGGTTTCACTATGTTAGGTTGGTCTTGAACTCCTGACCTCAGGTGATACATCCACCTTGGCCTCTCAGAGTACTGGAATTACAGGTGTGCACCACCATACCCGGCATAGAAGTTTTCTGTTTTTATTATTTTATTAATCTAGAAAGCACTGATAAGAAATCAGTTTACCAGAATTATTTACAATCATGAAACAAAATTATTTCCTCAATGGTATCTTCATGTTTTCTAATTTGTCTTAGCATGTAGCTAGGAAGTTTTTAGATGATGAAGCAGAACTTTCTGAAGAAGATGCAGAATGTGTGTCATCAGATGAAAATGATGAGTCTGAAAATGAACAGAATTCCTCATTACTTGACTTTTTAAATGATGAAACTCAGCTTTCACAGGCTATTAATGGTAAATGTTATAATGATTCTTAAAATTTTTAAAAATGTTTTTATGTGCTTATATTTAAGTCTTTTAATCAGTGTTTAATGAACCTGGACCTTAAAGGTAATTAAATGTGGTATGTACAAAATATTTATTTGGTCATTTTCATTCAAATTCTTTAATACTTCCTTTATTTTAGACTTGGTTGTTTATAGACTTCTGCTAATTTGAATATTTCTCTTCAGAATGACCTGGGTTGCTCAAGTGTCAAATGTTCATTTCACAAGTGTTTAGTGCCTGCTATTGCCTGGTACTATGTAAGGCATTTAAGAACGATATATCAATGAACAAAATAGACAAAGAATTTCTTCTTATGAAGCCTACATTCAAATGGAAAGAGATAATATACATACTAACTAAATTACTTAGTTTACTGTAAGATAAATCATAGAAAAATAAAAAAGTTGGACAAGATAAGAAAGATTTGGAGTAGTTGGGGTTGAGGGTATAAGTAACAGACAAGTTGCAATTTTATTATTTTTAAATTTTATTTTTTTAGAGACACAGTCTCACTCTGTTACCCCGACTAAGGTGCAGTGGCACAGTCATAGTTCACTGTAGCCTTGAACTCGTAGGCTCAGGAGATCCTCCTGCCTTAGCCTCCTACAGGACTACAGGCATGTGCAACATGACCGTTAATTTTTTTGGCCTTTTTTAGAGATTTAGTCTCACTATGTTGCCCAGGTTGGTCTCCAATGCCTGGCCTCAAGCGATCCTCTCACCTTGGTGTCCCAGAGTACTGAGTTATAGCTGTGAGCCACTGCACTCTGCCTAGTTGTGATTTTAAATAAGGCAATTAGGAATAGACCTTATTGAGAAGGTGACATTTCGTCAAAGACTAGAAGAAGAGATGTTCAGTGATGTAGATTGTTAAAACCAACTGAAATACAAAGCTAAATTTATTAAATGTACCAAGTAAGGACAGTTTACTTTCAGAAAATGATGTGTTTATATAATGCTTGAACAGATCTTACATAAAATACATTTAGAGGAGATGACTCAAATTTGCTGTAAAGTCAGAAATACTCTGATTATCTCTTCAGTAATCTTTCACAGATCTCACCATTTATTCTGCTTTTGCAGTCTCTGATATCATTTAAAGTGGCAAAATTTCCCAAAGTTCATGATTATAAAGAAAAAAGTGTTTAAAGACAGTGTTCTTAGTACTGCCCTTAATGCTAATATAATCTGCAGGATAAGATTTTATGCCCTTGATGTTCATTAATAGAAGTGGCTTTTGCAGGTTTACAATACAATCCAGTGGAAGAATGTTGATACAAAGACAACAGCCAGTGCAAAGGCCCTGAGTCAGTAATATACCTGATCTGCTGAAGGACTGGAATGAGGGAAAAGGGAAGGTAGTAGGAAGATCAGATAAATAGCAGCCAGATCATAATCTGACATAATTTATTAGAATCCCTCTAGCTTCTGTGTTGAGAATGACTGGCAGGGGAACAGAAGTAGACTGAAACCAGTTAGGAGACTGTAGCAGTCCTCCAATCAAGGAATGGTAGTGGCTTCTACCAAGATGGTAGCACTGAGGAGAGTGAGAAAGATTGGATTCTGGATACATAAAGCTGACAGGATTTTCCGATGGATTAGAAAGAAAGGAGACAGTAAGCTTGAACAACAAGAAGGACATAGTCCCTATTATCTGATATTGGGAAGGCTGCGGATGCAACAGTTTAGATGGGGATTAGAGAGATCTGAAATTAATTCCATTTTAGACACAGTATGAACTGTGTACAGTTTCAAAGCTTTTTTTAAAAAGAACCCCAAAATTCACATGAACTTTAGTTTTTATGTATCATGTCTCAAGTACTGTTCATTATATTATAACTTTAAAAAATAATATGCATTAGAAAAAAAAAACAATGTATTTCCTGCGTTTTGCTTAACTGAAAATTATGAAACATACTTTTTATTGGCTATGGCTTTTAATGTCTTTAGTGCATATTTGCTTTTCAATCTAGATTTCATATTTTTTTTGAAACTTCTATAAATCTGGTACCATTTTAAGGTCTTTGTATACCTTTGTTTTGAGTTAAGAGGCACTATTTGAATCCTCATTTTCAGAGATATAGCTAAAGCGGGAAACTTAAGTTGTCCATGATCACTCAACTAGATCATCTGATTTCAAAGACAAAACTCCTAACTTTATATTTTTGAATAATTGTTTATAGACATCTTTTAATATATATTACCTTTTGTGTAAAATATTTGCACAAGGTTTGAATCACGTAAATTTGAAATAAATTGAAGCTAAATACTTTGCTGGTTTTCATTTAAATAATTTTGCTACTTTATCTTAAATTCTTATCTTTACACAGAGTCTGAAATGAGAGCTGTTTACATGAAATCTTTGCGTAGTCCAATGATGAACAATAAGTACAAAATGATTCATAAGACACATAAAAACATAAACATTTTCTCACAGGTATGAACTATAGAAATATAATGGAGAATTTCTGGATGGTGATGTTGAAATATGTTCTTGTTAATGACGCCTCCATTTTGTTTCTAAAAGTGGGCTCTCAGAGCTACTTGAGATAATTTCTGCCTAAGGTAAAGGAAGGTGGACTAAATGAATTCTTAAGATCCCTTTTTGGTTGGGTCTGGTGGCTCACGCCTGTAATCCCAGCACTTTGGGAGGCTGAGACTGGTGGATCACCTTAGGTCAGGAGTTCGAGACCAGCTTGGCCAACATGTTGAAACCTTGTTTCTTCTGATACAAAAATTGGCCAGGTGTGGTACCTGTAATCCCAGCTACTTGGGAGGCTGAGGCAAGAGAATCACTTGAACTGGGGAGGTGGAGGTTGCAGTGAGCCGAGATTGTGCCATTGTATTCCAGCCTGGGCGACAAGAGCAAAACTCCGTCTCAAAAAATAAAAAAGAACCTGTTTTTGTTTTTGGTTGATTAAAATTTATTTTTTTCATAAAAATGTCATATTCTGAAAATTATAGGTTATGTCATTTATGGATAACATTTTCATATTAGTCTTGTTTGTTTATAAATTGCCATGTTCAGCTAGGTTATGTGTACTCTCTGTACTTTTATTGTGCTTATTATATAGCATTTATCTATTATTACTTTCTACCTGCCTGTTACTAGACCTTACATTTCTAGACGGTAAATTACTCTTTTCCTTTATCCTCAAACTTCTCATTTTCCTCCATAAAGAATGTACTTAGTATATGTTAGTTGAGCAAGTGGCTGAATTAATAAAATAAATGAAACAAATATTAATGAAGATTTCATGTGCTTAGAAGCATATTTTAAATACCTGTTAATTGTCTGAAATAAATGTAAAATATTCTTGTGTTTTTATTGTAGATTCCCGAACAAGATGAAACCTATTTAGAGGATAGTTTTTGTGTTAATGAAGAGGAGTCTTGCAAAAGCCAATCAAGTGAAGAAGAAGTTTGTGTTGATTTTAACTTAATAGCTGATGATTCCTTTGCAAATAGGAGTAAAAAATATAAAACTCGACGTGCATTAATGCTAAAACAAATGATGGAAAAAAACTGTGCACGTTCAAAAAAGAAATTATCCAGAATTATTTTACCAGATGATTCAAGTGAGGAGGAGAACAATGTAAACGATAAAAGAAAATCTAATATTGCGGTTAACCCAAGCACTGTTAAGAAGAACAAACAACAGGACCCTTGTTTCAATTCAGTGCCTTCTGGATCCTCACTGCAGTCCAAGGAGCATTCTACTCCAATAGTTCATCAATCTCCAAAGCACAGAAAACAGCCATCCCTTAATTTAAAGGATGCAATTTCTGAAGTCTCAGACTTCAAACCTCAGAATCATAATAAAGTGCAGTCTACCACACCACCATTCACTACTGTTGATTCACAGAAAGAATGTAGAAAATTTCCAATTTCACAAAAGGTATGTATCAAAGAAAGGAAAAGTGTCTTCAGATGTTTACCAGAAGTTTTTCTTTTTCTTTCTTATGTGTGTGTTTTGTATTAAATAACTAGGTCAAAGAAAAATTAACAAAAATATTGTAAAGAAAATGTCTTCAAGCAAGAAATCAATACATAAAATTATATGGGCAATTCATAGGATGCTTAGGTTTTAATTTTTTAGATAATGTTATATGTTTTCTTTATAACACTATGTAAGAGAACTTGATAATTTTATTAAAAGGATGTGGGAAAATAGGACTTTCTGCAAGGTAAAATTAACTGAAATTATGTGTTCAGAACTAGTTCCCTGGCCGGGCGCGGTGGCTCACAGCTGTAATCCCAACACTCTGGGAGGCCAAGGTGGGTGGATCACTTGAGTTCAGGACTTTACCAGCCTGGCCAATATAGTGAAACTCCATCTCTACTAAAAACTCAAAAATTAGCCGGTGTGGTGGCGCATCCCTGTAGTCCCACCTTCTCAGGAGGCTGAGGCCAGAGAATCGCTTGAACCGCGGAGGCAGAGGTTGCAGTGAGCCAAGATTATGCCATTGCACTCCAGCCTAAGTGACAGATCAAGACTGTGTCTGGAAAAAAAAAAAAAAAGAACTAGAACTAGCTCCCAGATTAACTTTTCATGAAGGCTTTGGGTATGTGAGTCTCTTTTTATTGGGTAAAGGAATTTAGGAGTACCAACTGGTTTCCTTAAAGTTTTTTTCCATTTCCTTTCGGAATGACTACTAAGTAGTCCAGTTTTACCTTCTCCCTATTGTACTATTTCAGAAGAATCACTGTAAAAACGTTTTCCGCTTTTAATAGTTTATAGTTACAGTAATTTTGCTAAATAGGAGTTAAAGTGATAATAGGAACTGTATATATTGATTAATTTATTTAATTTAGGAGACTGAAAATAGACTTGCTAAAAATTAATAATTTAAAAAATTGACATAAAAATTGTATATCTTTATCAAGTATAACATGATGTTTTGAAATATTTATACATTGTGGAATGGTTAGATTAAGCTAATTAATACAGTATTACCTCAAGTACTTATCGTTTTTTGTGTTGAAAACACTTAAAATTTATTATTGCAGTGATTTTTATGATAAAATACCTTGTAATTAAGTAGAATCACCATGTAATACATTCAACCTCTTGAACTCACTCTTCCTATCTGAGATTTTGTATCATTTGACCAACACCCCCGTCCCCATCTTAACCCCCTACTAACCACTATTCCAGTCTCTGCGTCTACTTCTCTTTATCCCCAAGGTGTTTCACCACACGCTGCCTTAGCCACAAGCTCAACAGTGTCCACACAATGGTCCTCATATTTGTGTTTCCAGTTTTAAATTGTCCCCAGCTTTTTTTTTTTTTTTTTTTGGCATAGTTACTTCTTGAAGGCATTATTAGTAAAAGATTGACTATATTAAGTGTTTGTAATAGACTGGAGAACAAGAAAGTACTTAATTTCTTTGAGCTTCAATATCCTCATCTATAGTATAAAGTGTATGATGTGTCCTTATGTTGATTTCTACACGTCTGATGGGACATTCACCTCATCCAGTTTTATGGAGTTGATTTCCCAGGGAAAGACTTATTTGTATGAATGGGTCTTAGGGTGTCAGTTTGGTGGGGCGTGTTGGCCTTTGTTTTAGGTGGATATAGTAGTGTAGTCTCTGTCTAGTTTCTTCAGCTATAATTTACACTAGTAGCATCTGCAAGTGTCTCAGTATCCTAGGGTTTCTTCATAAGGCAAAGTCCCTCCTGACCCTGGGCTAAGCCTAAACAGTGGAGATGAGGCTACAGAGGCTGGGTGCCTCCATACTGCTCTTTGGGCTTCTAATAACTGTAGGTGCCTATTTACCCCACGCCACACTCCAGTGCTCTGTACTTTGAAAAGAGAAGTAAGCACTGGTTAGCACTAACACTTAAAGCAGTATTTCTACTTTGGTATGTCCTAACTAAAAAACAGATAAGGGCAAGTGAAACTTTGAAGAAGACTATGAAAAAGGATTAGTAGATTTTAATGGAAACAGGTTTTAAGTTTTCTACTATTATTGAATAAAATTACATATAGTATGCTTCTTATTACTTGAAATCAGGAGGGGAAAGAATTTGAGGTAAATTTGAAAAGACATAAAATAGACTAAATACACTGACAAAAATCTTCGCAGATTAAAAATACTAATATTTGCATTGTCACATGTATTATAAACGGTATTCCTTGTGTTTTATTTGCTTTTTTGTTTTGTGTTTAGTGTTTCTTGCTACATAAAATAGAACTTATTTATGCAGTCTATATTTTTTTCCCTGTACTTTCTGACCTTGTTGTCATGTTTAGAAAGCCATACTCTAAGATAGCTAAGTACTTCCAGTATTTTCTTCTTGTTCTTTAGTGGCCATTTCCTTCTTCATTACATATATTAATTATTTTTTAATGATTTAATAAATGTAAGTGATAATTTCTGAATAATTAGGATGTCGATCATAGGTTAGCATGTTAAAAGGTGTAAAGTTCATCTTAGTTTTTGATGTAGAAAGGTGGAAGGAGTGTTGCTCCCATCTCCTTACTATGACAAAAAGCCAGTCATCTGCAAAATCATGTTTTCTTGAAACCATTACAGAGCTAAGGTTGTAGGGCAAACAATTAGACTGATATTTAAGGAAAAACAGGCCCCTCCAATGAAAAACTTGCTGATTCATGGCAATCACTGGATAGAATCTAGTAAAAATAATTCAGCTGGCCAGGCACAGGGGCTCATATGTATAATCCCAGAACTTTGGGAGGTCAAGGCAGGCAGGTCACTTGAGGTCAGGAGTTTGAGACCAGCCTGGCCAACATGGTGAAACTCTGTCTCTACTAAAAATGCAAAAAAAGTAGACAGACATGGTGGCACATACCTGTAGTCCCAGATATTCAGGAAGCTGAGGCAGGAGAATTCCTTGGAGCAGGGAGGCAGAGGTTACAGTGAGCCGAGATTGTGCTACCGCACTCCAGCCTGAGCAACATAGTGAGACTCCGTCTCAACAACAACAACAACAACAAACTAAACAAACCAAAGAATTAGCCCGGCATGCTGGTGCACACCTGTTGTCCCAGGTACTCGGCAGGCCAACGTGGAAGGATCACCTGAGCCTGGTAGGTTGAGGCTGCAGTGAGCTGTGATCGCGCCATCGAGCTCCAGACTGGGCAACAAAGTCAGACTCTGTCTAAAAAAGAAAAGAAAATAATTCAGCTATTACCGAATTGCAAAAGGCAATGGACTAGTTTAGAACTCCTGGGAGTTGTAGACAGAAGGGGAATTTACAACCACTCATGGGCTCTTCTCCACACACTCATCAGACATTCACAAAAAAGACTGAGAATGAGAAAAAGGCATTTTCCTAGTACAGTCCTTGGAGAAGAGAGAAGCAATTACTGTGGAAAAGGAACCATGCCCCACCTTGTTCTTTGTTTCCCCAATGGAACAAAAAGTTTTTAACCACTGGGAAGATCAGCAAACTCTATTGCCCTCAGGGCTTAGGTGAAGACTGCAGATCAGGAAGGAAACAAGAAAAATACCCTCTATACCTGAGAGAAGGGCAGGAAAACATCTTAAGCCTAGACAATTAGACATCTCTAATCAATGAGAGGGAGAGTGGGATCACTGAGAAATTCCTGTCCTCCAGACCTAGGGATGCAGGTCCTGCCCTATGGCTGAACCAGGACAACAGAAAACACTAATTCCACACTCCTAGTTCTCCGACCAGGCTAGCAAACACCAAGTAACCAGAGCAATTTACTAACACAAGTATGGGAAGAGACTATCTTGCCAAATCCAAAGTCATGAAGATGTTCCTTTATGTTTCCTTGTTAAGAGTTTTATAGTTTTAATTCTTCGTTGTAGACCTTTGATCTATTTTGAGTTAACTTTTGTTAATGATGTAAAGTAAAAGTCCCAACTTTTGTTGGTGGTGGTGCATGGCTATCTTGCTTAAAATCAGTTGACCATATATGTGAGGGTTTATTTCTAGGCTCTCAATTCTTTGGCGTATAAATCTTTTTCTGTGCCACTACCACACTGTCTTGATTCCTGTGGCTTTATAGTAAGTTTTGAAATTAGTAAGTCCGAGTTTTCTAACTTTGTTCTTTTTTAAGATTGTTTTAGATATTCGGAGTCCCTTGAAATATATGAAATTTAGTATGGGTTTTCCCATTTGTATAGCTCTTAAGAGCCATTTGCATTTCTTTTTGGAGAGCACATTTTATTACTTGTTTAAGGTTTTTGTGGATCACACAGGTATTGTGTATTCTGGCTACAAGCCCACATGAGGGCTGGAGGGCCAGTGTGTGGATACCAATTCTGAGATTTTCCCTCTATACCAGATATCGAGATTGCGAACTATTTGCTTTTATGGAGATTTATTTTTTAATTGCACCTACAATAAATGTTTAACTGTTTTTGGGGACAGAGATTTGGACATCTAGCACTAATGTTTCCCACACCCTGTGCCTCTGCAAAAAGAGGAGCTCATGGTTCACAGGATTTGGCAGATTACTTTGGAAAGGAAAGCTGGATATAATTAAGTCTGGCTCAACTAACTTTCAGAATTCTCACTTCCATGTTGTTTTTCTTTCTCTTGTCAGAGAAAGTAAGGAATGAACCGAGGTCAGAAACAACAGGCCAGCTATGCATTTTTAAGTATTTTTAAAAAACATGTTAGTTTTTAAAAAACTAAACAGGTTAAGTTGTTTTTAGCTGGTGATACTTTCTGGCTATCGAATCGTCCTGTTATTTTCAAAAATGTCTTCTCTAGTTTCCTTATTCTTCACGATGAACTCTAATCTGCTGGAAGGTTATTTCACCTTCCATTCATTTGTTTTCTCTAGGCTAAAAATTGTAATTTTCTTTTTTAACACTTATTTCCTTTCCTGTTCATTTTTAGATTTTCTCCTGTTTCTTTACATCCTACTGTTCTTAGCTTCTGTTGTTAATTATAGCTTTACAATTTTTTGAGGCATAAGAGTAGTGACTTATCTATTCCTTCATTTATTGTCACTTTGGTCAAGTTAAAGGAGGAAAACTGGACATTATCAGTAAGGAAAATCAGCGTTGGGTGTGAGATGTTTATGGCATTTATATGTATTTAACCTGATTGTGACCAGTGTTTTCCACTTTTTCAGGATGGTAATGCTTTGGAGGATTCTAGCACTTCAGGGGCATTCTGTTCCAATTCAAGACCACATTTAGCTGGGACACATACTTCTCTTAGACTTCTACAGGAAGGAAAAGGAACCTGTATTCTTGTAGGTGGTCATGAAATCACTTCTGGATTAGAAGTAATTTCTTCCCTAAGAGCAATTCATGGGTTACAAGTAGAAGTTTGTCCTCTTAATGGCTGTGATTATATCGTGAGTAACCGCATGGTGGTGGAAAGAAGGTCTCAATCTGAGATGTTAAATAGTGTCAATAAGAACAAGCTCATTGAGCAGTTCCAGCACCTGCAGAGCATGTTTGAAAGAATATGTGTGATTGTGGAAAAGGACAGAGAAAAAACAGGTTTGTATTATTAAATATCTTTGTTTATGAGACTGTAAAGGAAGTTGACTGTTAACTTAGTTTATCCTTCTATTATTAGGATGTGGGAAACTCTTAAAATAGAAACAACTGACTGGTGAATGTCATTTCATATTTTCACACAGCCATAATGGTTTTCGCTAGTCATTATATTTAAATGCAGCTTATGAGAACTGAAGGGTCCAAAATTGAAGGCAAGTCTGCCAAACATAAGACTTTTTTAGGAACCCATGAAGAATGAGGGCCTTAAATAAGGCAGCAGTAGGGAGGAGAAGTAGTTATTCAGGAGATGTTTAGGATTAGCAAGAGTTGGTGGAAGGAGTTGAGAATTACTAAGTTGACCAAATTCTTGGTTATTGGGCAGTTAAGTAGTGGTGTTGTTTATTGCAACTATGAACATAAGGGAAGCAACAGATATGAGGGGCAAGGGAAGTTCAATTCTGAACATGTTAAGATTGAGTTCTCAACAGGTCACTGAAGAGAGTGCCTAGGATGGGAAATGCAGGATTGGAGCTTAGGTAGAGAATTTCTGCAGTTATGGCAAGCCCTCAAGAACAGTGAAAAGATCATGAGATATGGAATCAGAAGACACTGGTATCTCTGTGATTTCTGGTTTCTCTATGTGACATTGCATTGACAAATCACTCCCTCTGGGGAATTGGTAATACACTTGTCCTACTCATCCTGTGATATTATGAGGACTAAGTAAAATCATGTAGGTGAAAGCTACTTTGGAAGAATTGAAGAATTATACTTTGGTAATAGTATAGTTTATATAAAATATTGGTGTAGGAATTGGGCAGCTTTTTCATCCCCATGCTGTCATTGGTGAACCATGTGGCCTTAGATGAGTCATTTTATCTTTTGGTTACCCAATTTTTTTCTTTTTCCTTTTTTTTTTTTTTTTTTGAGACAGGGTCTCTGTCGCCCAAGCTGGAGGTCATGGCGCCATCTCGGCTCACTGCAACCTCCACCTCCCAGGTTCAAGCAGTTCTCCTGCCTCTGCCTCCCTAGTAGCTGGGATTACAGGTGCCCAACACCACACCCACCTAATTTTTGTATTTTTAATAGAAATGGGGTTTCACCATGTTGACCAGGCTGGTCTTAAACTCCTGAACTCAGGAGATCCGCCTGCCTTAGCTTCCCAAAGTGCTGGGATTACAGATGTGAACCACCACACCTAGGCTTCTTTTTAATTTGAAAAGGCAGGGATAAAGGAAATAGATTTGGAATACACAGGAAGGTAACATGGCAAAAGTTATAGAAAAGTATTGGGGGCCATAATAGCGAGTACCAATAAAAGTGTTTAAGTAGAATATAGAATAGAAAACAAGAAAGTGTAGGGAAGTAATTGTCAAGATGATATTAAAATGGGTGTACAGGGTATTTGTTGAGTTATTCTTTGGAATAAATAATTTTATATCAGTTAAATACTTAATGCCCCCTTCATCAGAGCTAGCATGAAAAAATAATTTTATATATATATATATAAAATTTTATATATATATATATATATATATATTTTAAAAAAAGGGTGAATAAGGAAGAGCTTACATTCCTAGATAATTCACTCCAGAAGGCCAAGACTGTACTCGTCTCTAGAAGGCAGCAAATCACACTGCCATGTGTGTTCCTATGCAACAATTTTGCATGTTCTTCACATGTACCCCAAAACCTAAAATGCAATAAAATAAATAAATGGGAAAAAAAAAATATATATATATATATCATTACCACCAAATCAACTTACTCACCCTTCTTTGTTGATTCCAGCTCAAGGCACTCATAGTTGTCCCTATTTTCTTTCTCAGTTATTTGAGAAACATTAGTTGTAGGGTTTCTCATTAGCAGAATGTGGCACTAGTTTGCTCAATGGTGTAGATCTTGGGATTTTAATAATATAAAGTATGTTAATGATTCTACTTAATGTTATTTACTAAAGTTTGCCTTTCCCTAAATGTAAATATTTAGGAGATATATCAAGGATGTTTAGGAGAACAAAGAGCTATGACAGCCTGCTGACTACCTTAATTGGTGCTGGAATCCGAATTCTTTTCAGTTCCTGCCAAGAAGAAACCGCAGATTTGCTAAAGGAACTGACCCTAGTGGAACAAAGAAAGAATGTTGGTATTCATGTTCCAACAGTGATGAATAGTAGTAAAAGTGAGGCACTCCAGTTTTATTTAAGTATTCCCAATATAAGTTATATAACTGCATTAAATATGTGTCACCAGTTTTCATCTGTGAAAAAGATGGCTAACAGGTATGTCTGTTGTAATATTTTTAAATGATTACTTTTAAAAGATTCTTAAAAGCATTTCATAGAATTTTAATGTTAAAAAATTTAAGAAGAATAGTGCTTGTTGGATTATTTTGTTCAGCAAACATTTTTTGCCTGTCAACATATATTAGTTACTGTATGAAGCTGAGGGACATTAATTGAAAAAAAAGAAAATAGGTGTAGGCATTCCTTTGAGAAGCTTAGAGCTCTGTGGAGAGACAATAAATAGCAGTTACATTTGACCTTGCAATCTAACATTTCTGAGCTGTTCAGTTCTATATGTAACTAGAAAAATGTTTGAGCATTTTACTAGTTTTGATCATTATATTTCTTGAAGAGGGAGATTTTAGAATGTAATTCATTTTAATTAAAGGCCTATATCAAATGTTGTCTTAGCTCATGCTGCTATGATAAAATACCATAAACTGGGTAATTTATAAACAATGGAAATTTATTTATCCCAGTTCTGGACACTGGAAGTCTGAGATCAGGGTGCCAGCATGGCTGGGTTCTAGAGAGAGCCTTCTACAGAGTCACAGACTACCAACTTCTCACTGTATCCTATCATGGCAGAAACAGAGCTAGCTGTCTTTTTACTTCTTATCCGAGCACTAGGATATCCTCCTGCATCACCGAATTCTCTTCTCAAAGGTGCCACTTCCACATACCATCATATTGGGATTAAGGCTTCAACATACAAATTTTGGGGAACACAAAAACATTCAGTTCATTGAAGATACTGAAGCTGTTATTGCAGATAATTTTAAGGAAAGGAAACAAGTAACTTTTATCCAAACCATTGTTAAAGACATATCAACTCAATGGATCATGTTTGAGATGATTTTCTTAAAGGCTACTGTGTTTAGTATTACCTAATACTAAATTTTATGAAAGCCAAAAGACCTAGTGTAATGATTTTGTCTCATTTATTTTTCAGCTCACCTCAAGAAATATCCACCTGTGCACAAGTAACTCATCAGAAGGCTGAGGAGATCTACAGATATATTCACTATGTATTTGACATACAAATGTTACCAAATGATCTTAACCAAGGCAGACTGAAATCTGATGCATGATCAAGCTGCTAAAGATGGGGTTATCAAATAACTCATAATATTAAACGTACTTCAGTAATCATTGCTGTTTGTGATTATCAGTTTAAAATCTGTAAATAAGAGTATTTCCTTATCATTTGAATATATTATTTTATATTGTATACATTTTTATTTATGTAGATTATATAATTTTTAAAAATCTGATGTTCGGTGATCATTTTGACTAGATTACGAAACTAATTTTTTTATTAAATAAAACAAGGTTTATTAAAAGTATTACTACTAAGGATAATTTAAGAAAGTAAAAGCTAAGTTAAGAGATACACTTTGGAATGTTCCTAAGATTGAAGTATGTACTAATGTGATAAATAGTAAAGTTGATATGTCTCTGACTACAGCCAACTTGTTGATTTTCCCTATGTGTAGATAGTATACTTTAAATTTTCTTTGTGTAGATGGTATACATTAAATGTACTGATTCTAAATATATGTACTTGGTAAGCTGTGGGTGATAGGTGGGTTGTGAGATAAATGACCCAGTAACTAGGAAAGTAGAAAACTTAAGTGAATGTTTATCTGACCAAAGGTGTATCCCAGTAAGGTACTGTCAAATCTATTACTATGAACTCTGATATGGTTTGTCTACGTCCCCAACTAAAAATCTGATCTTGCATTGTAATGGGAATGATAATCCCCATGTGCTGGGGAGGGACCTCGTGGGAAGTAATTAGATCGCAGGGGTGGTTTCCCGAAGCTGTTCTGGTGATGGTGAGTTCTCAGAGGATCTGATAGTTTTATAAAGAGCTTTTCCTGTTATCTCTGCAGTTCTCTCTCCTACCGCCATGTGAAGAAGGATGTTTGCTTTCCCTTCCACCATGATTATAACAAGTTTCCTGAGGCCTCCCAAGCCATGTGGGACTGTGAGTCAAACATCTTTTCCTTATAAATTGCCCAGTCTTGGGTATTTCTTCATAGCAGTATGAGAATGGACTAATACTCCCAGCTACATTACTCTTTTTGTTACTGAAATATACTCAAAGAAGTGGTATATTGGTTTGGACTTAAAAAGTTTCTTTTTAATATAAATTACCAAATGCAGGCCCATTATATTGACCCCCTTACATTTACCGTTTTGATCCATTCTAATGTTTGTGATGGCATTGAGAAGGCTTCACTTCTATCTGCAATATATATGACATCTTCTAGTCAGTGTAGTACTAAAGCCGCCTTTAATTATGTAAGTCTTATTCTTGGTCTCATTTTTACCCCTATTACATTGTTGAGTAGTTGAACCAGCCTCACCCCAGAGAGCTTTCCTTACCTTAAATCTGGCAAGGACTTCAGAGCGCATGTAATTCAAATCGCTTCTCTTTCCTTCCTTACCAAATGATAAAGTGAGGCCCAGAAACAAGTGACTTATTCAGGTTTGACTGGCAAATCTAGAAGAACCCAGAAACTAGGTATCATTCTCTTTCACTCTATGGTGTTGAAAAAGGAGACAAGTTACTCTAATTGTTTAGCTCCTTTGAGGTAGTATCAACTCTCAATTCATCTGAAAGTAGCTGACTTCCTATGTCTGCTATTGAATTATTCTGTCAAAACCTGAGAGAGGAAGCACTACAAGTTATTGCCTAGTGTGCAGTTATCAACTTATTATAACTGGACTTTTTGAGTATTTCTCCTCTAGTAGTGAGCACAATGCTAAGCTTTGACAAGAGGAACAAAGGAGCCTTTTATTCTGGTTCCACTGTGCTACATCTTCATGCATCAAACTCCTGCTACACCGTCAGCAGGGCCTGTGGGTAGGGACATCTGGTGGTGCTCTGCCCCAGCTGCATACGATTCATGCAGTCCCTCAACAATCTCACACAGGGGCTGGCTGGCTGACCTTGCAGCACCTCCCACACAGGTACTACCACATGCTGACTCATCTGTGTGTCTCCATCAGACAAAAGAACTACATAAATTAACAGAGTGTTACAGATATAACCTTGAGGATTTTATTTATGTATGCTTGCTGTGTGGAGAGCTCTATCCATATTTAGGCTTATTAACAGCCTCCTCCTATATATACTCTCATTGGTAGCCATTATGGTTAACTATTATTAACCATTGATTATCAGTCCAAGTTATTATTTAAGTCTTCAAAGTATTTTTCTCTTCCACTTTTAAGTCTCCTTTGGGGGTTACTTACCTTAAACCTTATTATTAGTTCATCTTACAACCTGATGGAAAGAAATGGGACAAACCAGTTACCTGGCAGGTGACATATCTTAGAATAGGTAAGGTGCTGAAGGAGTTCTGATAGGACACAGGAAACATATGAGCAGTAGGGGGTCAGACTCTTGGTTTGAGTCAAGCTTATGATATTTCAAGTACCTTTTTACTGTTAAGGGACTTAACCACATTCTTAACCCCTAAAATGCTATCCATTACCTTTAAGCAGTATAGCAGTAGATCAAATATTGGCAACTCAAGTTCTACAACAGTATTTTTTTGGTCCACTACAAAATAACCCTTTGTTTTGATCTATCCTGTATTGACCAAGGGTCTTTATGTCAGAAATAATTATGGTGGCCGGGCGCGGTGGCTCAAGCCTGTAACCCAGCACTTTGGGAGGCTGAGGCAGGTGGATCACGAGATCAAGAGATCGAGACCATCCTGGTCAACATGGTGAAACCCCGTCTCTACTAAAAATACAAAAAATTAGCTGGGCATGGTGGTGCGTGCCTGTAATCCCAGCTACTCAGGAGGCTGA